TGCAAACTTGGCAAGAATACAGCTGAAGGTGTGAAAACACAGGCTGTCCAAGGTCGTACCAAGCACTAGGTATTCGCTAAACACATCCCGGCAGGGCGGTACAAGAATGTGCTGGTACAAAGCTATGGGATCAACACAGACTCCCTGAAAAGGGTAAAGGGACACCCAGAGCCCCCCGACAGGAGAAGTTTTGTTTCAACTGCAAACTTGGCAAGAATACAGCTGAAGGTGTGAAAACACAGGCTGTCCAAGGTCGTACCAAGCACTAGGTATTCGCTAAACACATCCCGGCAGGGCGGTACAAGAATGTGCTGGTACAAAGCTATGGGATCAACACAGACTCCCTGAAAAGGGTAAAGGGACACCCAGAGCCCCCCGACAGGAGAAGTTTTGTTTCAACCAACACCTGAACTAGGTGTAGGATAATATGTTACTTGTTCATATCAGTATATAAAAAGGGGTCACAGAAGGTACATCTCTGCAATGCCCCTCAGCCACACACAACCCTGCTGCTGACCGAGTTGGTCTCTTGGCACGGGAATGAATGGGTCAGTATCCCTGAAGAAGCTGAGGGGAGAGTAGCACTGTGTTTTGTCAACAAGAAACCTGATAAAGGGCCTTTGCCCACCTAACCAACTCTGTCATCATTCGCACAGTCTGATCTGCTGGCCTGGTCACCAGACCAGATCCGCAACAAGACAATACGCACAAGCAGCCCACAACAGGTGTCACTGTATCAGGGCCCTCAGCACCATGGAAAGGTGGTATGATGGCTCTGGTATCTACCTGTCTCCAGCTAACCTCGTGACCCCTGGCGGGTGGTACGTTTTGGGGTGATCAGCCTATAACAGAGGAGGGGGGATACCCCAAGGCACTGATGGTACAAAGCCATGAGACACAGCCTACGTGGACAGTCCTGAGAGGGGCTGGGTACCCAAAGTTCCTACTGGTTTTCGAAGGAGATGCAGGAACTCAGCTCTGTTCAGAACAGGCCCATTCTGATGGAAGTGGAACATTCTGTTATAAGGGCAGTAACCTAGACAAACAGCGTCGGAGACAGGCAGGGGAGAGGAACCCAGGTATAAGCTTTCACAGGTGGGGGTTGCATAAGTCCCACACCATCCAAATCACAGGGAAGGAGCTGGCCATGAGCCTGCAACAAACAGAGCCCAGCTGGTGACCAGATCTGAAGAGCAATTTGATTCATTCGAGAGTTTTTAGAGCCAGACTGAGCCCTCCTCCTACAGCTCCCCTGGCAGGGATTTGGGGCTGGTCACTTTGATCACTTTGCCCAAATAAGGAAGAAGGGGAGACAATGACTCATGACTCGGTTGTGATGCAGCAATTGGATTAGGTCACTCACCGGGGACTGCAGCATTTCACACCAGGGCTACTGCCAGTGGGTCTAAAGATGGGGACCACGGCAAAGGAGTCAGATCTTCCAGGGCCCAGTTAAAGAAGGGAGGTAGATACAGCAGGAGAAAGGAGGAAGGAAAATCAGGGACAAAGCTGCTGAATAGAGGGAGGTATCAATGAGCGGGGGGCGGGGGGGAATTAGACTAGGTAAGAAAGAAACACCAGAGAAGTGCAGAAGGGGAAGAGACAAGAAACAAGAGGGAGATGAGAGAAAGGGGATGGGCAAAGAGACTACAAGAGAAGAGAAAGGAGAAGAAGCACAGAAGGAGTGGATGGGGGTGAGAACCTCGTCTGATTTCTTTAGCTTCAGGTAGAACCCTGATTGCCTTTCCCAAGACACAAGCAAAGCAACCAGTTGTAACGTTCAGGGCTTACTAAGGCAGGCATTTGTACAATGCAAACAGGAATGGATACAAGTGGCCATAGATGAGAGGTGCCATCACCGTCCAAAAATGACATTGCAGTGACCTATGTCTGCTGATTTGACCATTGTAGCTTATTTGTCAGAGATTCTATTGCACCACTTAAGACATAAAAAGAGAAAATGAGTCTTCTTATCAAAAAGTGAGGGATTCACCTTCTCATAGCAATGGAGTGCTAACTAACCAAACTGATGATACTTTCAGGTCACAGGCGTGAATCCATCTTTCGTTGTCAAAGTCTACTAGCAAGTTTAGTAAGTATAAAGCAATGTACAGAACCAAAGCTGCTGAAAGGTCAGAGAATTATCTACTTGCTCCATTCAAAGATAAGGAAACAGTAAGTTATATCCACTAGATTTTAAACAATACAGCTGATGGTACAGGGAGAAACAAACAAACCACTACAGCGGTTCATCCCACAGACAGTATGCATTGTACTCACTCTTGCCAAATTAATCCAAGGACAAATCATTCACATTTGTTTCCTGACAAAACTACTGTTTGTCAAACAGCTCTTTGCAGCATGGAAGGATGCAGTTTCCAGGAATGAATTACCTGACCTAACTGATCCATCCCTTTTGGAAGGTAAGAAATACATTACACATGCCATTGCCCACAACAGTCAATGGTTCTGGTCATATTCAGAAGTGGAAGAAAAGGTAACTGATGAAATCTGCATGTCTCTAAAGAAGGGAAGTTGAGATACACAAGGACACAAGAAGCTGCTGTACAGAACACTGGAACACAAACTGGGAGCTGCTTCTTCAGACGTAAGTAAAGCAGCTGGCAATTCTAACCAGTTATAGTAATAGCGCCTCCTTTCTAGATAGGGCTGTGGATTGTTCCTACAAAGAGGTAGCAGTAATGTTATTTCAAAATAAAATAAAATAAAACAAAATAATTGCAGCATAAAAAGGAGCTTTAACCTTCTCTTCCATTTTCAGAGATGAGTTAATCCACTGACTGCAGGATTGATCATTCTTGCCTATGGACAAAAGAGAAGAAGAAATCAGTGGAACTGATCATTTCTATCAAGAGGTAAGGAATCCATCTCCTCAGAGTGCAGGGCCAGGAATCACAGTTTCTATTTCTATTTTTAGGTGAAATGAAGGTCTTACCATTCAAGGAGGAAGATAGGAGGCTGCTGAATTAAGGGTAAAGTCAGACAGGTGCTATACCTGCCCAGAGAGAAAAAAGCATCTTTTCCTTCTACTCTGGAAAAAACCAAAAATGTTCCAATTTCTGCTTCAAGTTTTAACCCATCTAGCTGGCCATGAGCATCCAAGAATAAAAACCATGTGGTAGACCTTAATGAAAAGCAAATTAGCAATGAAAAGTCTCTACGGGACTAATGATCAGGCTGCTAAGTAACCGTCTCCATTGAAAGCACTTCAAGGCTGGTAACAAGTCATAATAGCAACTACAATTCTGTCAAACTACCCGATTGCAGGTTTTGCTGATTTGAAATGTGAATGGGTGGACATTCCTACTAGAAAGAAGGGAGGGGAAATGGCTGTCCTCCACAAGAGGTAAGAAATACCAGACTCCACATAGCCATGTGTATATCAAGCAGTGTCAATTTCACTTTCAGGTAGAAGAACTGGTTGTTGACCTTACCTGAGAATGTGAAAAACAAACACAAAAGTTAAAGCCTCATGGACTTTCCCGATGTTCAATACATGGAGGAAATAACAGCCTCTTGGAAGAATCAAGGAAATAAAGGTTAGTTCCTTCAAACAGCTCTGCTAGATGGAAATTTGAATTGGAAGCAATTCAGCAGCACATCACAGGCAGAGATGAGCATTTCCGTTTTCCTGCCAGCCACACGTACAGACCAAATCAATCAAACTGGCATTCATTGATTGGGTTGCCAGATGGTTTCAACAAAAAAACAGACACACTTGACATTACATCATAATCTACATTACATCTTATTTAGAAAATACTGGACACTTATATTTTCTCATTAATATTGTCTCAATTTGTTTCCCAAACAGAAAACTCAAATACTGGACTGTACAGTTCAAAACCGGACAGCTGGCAACCCTACTCCTTGATTGTTACTGCAGATCACATATCTCCAAATGGAAGGAGACTAGAGGACTATTGTGCTCTAGAAGGGATTAATGCAATTGGAATGAGCTGAGCCAGGCATATCAATTGGTAAGAAAAACCAAAAAAAACCCTCTCATTCTTTAACATTCAAGTGGAAATGAATGGATCCTCTCATTCTTTCAGATGTGGGAAATGCAGCTGAACTGAACTCTGAGGATGATAAAACTTTAGGAAGTTCCTAAAACATCCCTCACTGAGGCCAAGAGGTAAGGAACTCACCTGAGAACGTTGGAGAAGGAATTAACGGATCTGGTTTCCTTTTCAGGTGACAGAAATGCAGTTAGTTTTCAATCCTTGTGAGGCCCAATCATCAGTAGTCCCATTATTAAGAATAAAGGAAGATGTAGCCAAAATCTGCAGCGAGGAAGGAAAATTTACCTTCTGTGGCTAAAAGGGGAAGACTCATCACCATCAAGTTTCAAACCCACAATATAGCAGGCCGACAAGGAGGTGAGTGTTTGTGTTTCTGTTGTACAAACTGCTTGACAATTTGTTCCCTTTGGCAACCTTTCTGAGACAGTAAAACCAATGAGGAACCACATTCCTTGTCCAACTTTGACTTTCTGAGACCGTAAAACCAACGAGGAACCACATTCCTTGTCCAACTTTGACCATACAGCCAAGTCTGGGCTTTTTGAGAACTAACTTGCAAAGCAGATTTACCTTTTCAGGAGATCAGGGTTACAGATGCTCAGATTTTCCAGCTCCAATGAATGGCTCAAAGCCATTCCTATCACCTGGAAGGACAATTGGTTCTCTCATGATAGGAAAATCCATACACTCCATTCAACAGAGCCACAGAATTGGCTCTGAGGAGAGGTAAGAGAAGCATGTGGCAAGCCTAACAAATGTGCAAACAATCAGCTTCACAAAATTGCTAACTTACGTTGTCCCAATGAGTTTGTTACAGGTGATCACACATCTCAGAGTCTGAGAGGAGCCACGTGTGATGGCCAACACAAGGGGATTCATCTTTGTCAGGAGGTGAGGAACCTGCTTATCCCTGAGTGCAATTCAGTGGCTGTGGTTGTACTTTTGGAGGAAGGGAAAACAGCCTGTGTGGACAGCATTCAAGAAACGATGTTCAAAACTTTCATGGTGCATTATTGGGCTAAGAGAACAGCGGGTTCCCTCTGCCGGGATGCACGGAGAAGGGGCCTACATGGGAGAAGAGGAAAGCCCTGGAGATGGGCTAATACTGGGCCACAGATCACGGCCAGACAAGACAGGGTCCTTGCTCGCATGCACAGGACGAAATCGATCGCCACATTTGGGATCAGGAAGGAATTTTCCTCCAGGGCTGATTGGCCAGAGACTCTGGAGGTTTTTCGCCTTCCTCTGGGGCATTGAGCAAGGACCAGCCCTTTGGGCCATTTAGAAACAGACAATAAAATCCGTCAAAGAGAACATGTCTCATTTTGTCTTTTGTATTTTCTAAAGACCCGTCCCATGCCCCTCGATCATGCCCACGCTCCCAGCCACATAGTGGGGGAGGGTTCCATGTGGGTGTGCTGCCCCTCCCCTGCTCAGCTTCAGCATGGCCCCACACGTGGTGATGGAGAGAGTAGCCTATCACCCTCAGAGGGGGACAAGTGTGTGCATGGCCCCTAGGGGTCGGTGGGGAGCTTGGCAGGTGCCCAATCCAGGGGAAGCAGGAAGCACAGAGGCACCGTTTGCATGGTCCTCTCTCAGGATGCCCCTAGGGACCATGGCAGGGCCTTCAGCCTGCCGCATCGAAGTGTTCTGCTGTGCCGCTGTGGTCATAAGAACCCCCTGGATACACCTCAGGCTCTGGAGAGGTGGTCAGTGAACCCAAAGCTACTGTGCCAGTGCCAGGGTGGGGCCACTGCTTTCTGAGCTCCCGCACTGGCCTCACAGACTCTAATCAAATGCAGCACCAGCAGCCCTTTCTCCAGGGGGAGCCACTGAGCAGCGGGCATGCAAGAATGTCTTCCCTTCAGCCAGCTCTTTTCCAGGGGCTATGGCTTGAAGCCTGCTCTCCTGTCCAGAATGCCCAGGTGATCCGGCTGTCTCCTCTCTCCAACTCCCAAGAAAGGGCTGGGTCAGCCCAGAAGAGCTCGTTCCTCCCGCGCTACACACTGTGGGCTCATGGTGACTGGGAGCATAACAAGGCATCAGGGTCAGTGTTAGGAGCTCACAGCTGGAGGGGATGAGAAAAGGAAGGGGGCCAGCAATGCATTACTTCAGTGGCACATTTCTATTTAACCTCCGGTTGCTGCAGCCTGTCTTACACAATCCCCCATGTCCACGTCCTTCTCCTCTCCAGTCCTCTTCCCAGCCACACACTGAACCCAAACCTCAGGGCCATGCAGACAGTGTTGCTGTTTGGGAATCTCAAGTGTGTGTACACCCAGCCTCCCACAAACCTTCAGAGGCCCAATTTGCTCTGCAGGGGGAGAGTATTGATTTCCCAAGGTGAAATCAATCGCAGTGACTCAGCCCTTGGGAAGGTGGTTGTAGGGAGAATCAGGTCTCCCATGGGCAAAGATACGATGTGATTTGGAGGTGTCACTCACAACAGTGCAGGAGGGGAACTAACACTAGAGAAAAGCAAACTGGGGGAGGGCCGGCATCTTGGTTTTGTAAAATCGCTGTTGAACTTCTGTTCGGCAAAACAAACCACAACTGAGGGTTGGGGGAGGGACGTCAGATTAGGTTTTCATGTTAATGTAAAACCCAGACATCCTGGAGAGGGGGAGGAGTGATGATTCTGGCACATCTCAGCCAGACCCCAACGTCACGCACTGCCTGCAGACATGATGCCTGGGAGGAGCTGGCTGTCGGTGTAAAACCAACAATTAAAGCTGCCCATCCCCTAACATACATTGTGCAGTCTTGGTGGTCATGTCGCCCAGCCTGCAAAACAAAGAGCTGTGCTCTGCGTGGAGAAGTCCAGAGCTTAAGTGTGTTTCAGGGCTTCCACACAGCCTGTGTCCCCACACTTTAGCCAGGGTTAAGCACCGCAAGAAGAGTGACAGCTACGTAAGGATGCCTGACACTTCCTCATTACAAGTCCTACTTCCAATTATGCCGCCTTTACCTAGTGCCAGAGAACTTTTGCTATACAGGTGAGAGAAGACACTGAGCTGGTGAAAGTGGCTGTAGAAGACACACATCCCAACACACTCTTCAGTGCAGAGTTTAATTAAATGAAAGAGATTTGGAAACCTCCTTTACCTACCTAGATCTTTTCAGCAAATATGTCTGGCTGCAAGGGGGAGAGCTGAGGTTCATTAGAAGATCATAAGGGAATGTTAATGCCAACAGCTGGAGTATTGTGTCCAGTTCCATGTATCATGTTTCGGGAAGGATGTGGGAAAATCAGAGAAAGTCCAGAGAAGAGCCACAAAAAGGATTAAAGGATTAAAGACCTAGGAAACATGGCATATGAGAGAAGAATGAAAAAATTGGGTTTAGTCTGGGGAAGAGAGGACTGAGAGGGGACATGAAAACAGTTAGCAAATATTCAGAAAGCTGCTACAATTTACCTCAGGAGACAGGTAAATTATTGTCAACACTCTTTGAGGACAGGACAAGGAGCAATGGGCTTAAATTGCAGCAAGGGAGGGTTAGGTTGGATATTAGGAGAAACTTCCTAACTGTCCGGGTGGTTAAACACTGGAATAAATTGCCCAGGGGAGTCGTGGAATCTCCATCACTGGAGATTTTTAAGAGCAGGTTAGATAGATATCTATCAGGGATGATGTAGACGGGTGCTTGGTCCTGCTGTGAGCGCGGGGGATGGGACTTCATGGCCTGTCAAGGTCCCTCCCAGTTCTAGTGTTCTATGATTCTGAAAGAGCAGATCACATCACAGAAGTGAAAATTATTCTAGGAACCAGCTAGTGCCAAGGCCTTCAGCTAGTGGGCAGAGAAGCTTCCCTTATTTAGTCATTTCAGCCATGAGACAAACTCCGCCCCCGCTTCTTTGTTTTCACAAGACGAGAGTCATTTTTAAGAATAGAGCCTCCTGCTCTCCAGACTCTGGAGCGTTTGTTGCTTTGCCCTCTGTAGCTGGGTTGTGTCTGTTCCTGCTTCCCTGGACATACACAGATTCATCACACTCCCCTGTCCCACCACCATCTCGGAGCTACCTCTGAACTGACCCCAACTCAGCAGCCCGTCCACTGGCCTCCACACTGCTGCTAGATCCTGGGCCAGCCGTGGGGAGGTTTAGTGGCACCAGAGCTCCTTGCAGAGAGAGGAGTTTCCCCCCGGCCTCTGGAAGGGTCACTTTGGTACAGGTGCTGCTGCTAATATTCTGTTACCGCTACGCAGTGTGAACCCTTATGGGGCTTGTTAATGTTAAGACCCCCTTTAGAAGAATGTGGCTTGTCCAATTAAAGCAGCAGAGAGGGTTGTTTCCTAGTTAGAAAGTACATGTAAGCTCTTTGTCCTTCCTGTGCAGCTATGAAAGGAGGTTGGGTTGTATGTGGACAGGGGATGCTGCTGAGAATATTTCCAAAATTCTCCCTGTGACATGTGTTTCAATCTAGTTGATTGAAACACATGTCACGGAGAATTTTGTGGTGGCACAAGAGATGAGAAAGATAAATGACAACCCTTCAGCTTCTCATATTCTGCATCTATTGGCCTCCCATCTTCTTTCTGACATGTTCCATGGGCTACTGTGCCAAATTCTGCAGCCTCCT